GAATTATATATGAAATATAAAAAGTGTTCTGATTTCTTTGGAAAAGATATTAATTAATATCTTAGCAGTTTAACTTTATGGATTGTCATTTAATGACTTTTTGCATTAAGACTATAAACATTTGAAATTAGTAAAGTTATTAACTTGTACATCATTATTCTATAAGTCTTATAGCAATACCACTGTTCAAGTCATCAATCATTTTAGCTAGTGAGGCCCCTCAATGGCTTAGGTGTCCACAGTAATCTAATAAATTTTACGTTTATATACAAGGTCTTGATTTCATTATCGAAAGAATGTTAGATTGACGTTGCTATGATTATAGCAGTTATATTTAAGGCTGCCAAAGAGGTAATATTTCTCATAAAGTTCAAGGTGGAGTGACTAAGGGCACTGTATACCAATATCTTGTATTATCTTAACCAGGATATCAGTCAATATTTACTTACAGCTCGCTAAATCTTTAATTTTTTGTTCGTTACTACAACATAAGCGTTTGTTGCAACGCCATGAAAAGTCTTGGCTATATATATATATATTCATATATGTGTGTGTTTGTATAATTCTACATATAATATTTGTTAAGTGGTCGAGTGAACGGGGTTGTGTCCAACATGCCAATATTAGATAATCTAAATTTTTATTATAATGACCATTACCGTTTTATTTAATTATTGTCAATCTAATACTACTAGATCGATTCTTGAAATTTACTAAAATAATATTTCCTTTGGAAACTCGATTAATAACCCATTAATTCTGGTGCCCTGGAAGTTAAGGACGCCATGTCCATTTTTTTATTAAACGATTTAGTAGCTAAGAAACAAATCTTAATCTCACAAAGCTTAGGAAAATTGTCTCTCTGGGCAAATACCAAAATGTGACATATGGTGTCCTTTACCACATAAGTACGTATTTAGTAACAAAGAGACAAATTTTAATAGTCTAAAGTAGTGTTGCCCAAAATCGGCCTTGGTCTTGCGCTTTGCAAGACCAAGGCAGCCTAACTGTTGCAATACCAAGACCAGGACTAGTAAAAAAAATCGATTTTTTGAATAAAAATTAAGGCAAAATAGTTACTAATACTTGACAATCTTGGTTATTGTATGTTAATAATTGGTATAACTAATATAGTTTTGAATTTAACTTCTCTAATTTTTCATTCGGGTTTAGCTAGGTTTAGCGCAAGACCAAGACCGTGACCAAGACTGAGTTTGCAAGACCAAGACTCATCTCGGTCTCGCATTTGGGAAACACTAGTCTAAAGTTGTGGGAAATTGGTTCCTCTCAACAAATACCTCCGGTGTACAGAATTATTGACCATTTTTTTATGATATTAATTTGTTTCCATTAATTTTATTTTTTAATTGTGGATTGATGGTTGAAATACTGATCCACGCACTCCTCCCCTCAACTAATAATTATAACCAGGGAGACCCCCCCCCACCCCATCCATTAACAAAAAAATCCCCCTAAACTTCCCCTGCCCAACCTTCCAAACTACTTTAAAAAAAAACCTCCCCCCCCCCTCACCCAACCAATACACATCTCCCCACAACTGCCTCCTCTCCCCCCCATCCCATACTCATCCCCTTATACTACACCCCCACATTACTTGACACCAAACCCCAACGCCATTACCCCATCCAACTCCACCACCACCCTCCCCCATCCCTACACCACTCCACACCCACCCCTCCCTACACCCCACCCTCACCCGGCCCTAAACCTTCACTCAACCCGTATCTTCCTACCCTAACCTTACCACCCACCCTACTTCACCCCAACCCACTGCCACGCACCAAAACAAATCAAACAAACCGAAAAAATCCATCCCCCCCTGCTCCCTCCACAAACACACCGAAAACAAAAAACACAAAAATCAAACCCCACACAAGAACTCACAAAATTCGCCCAACCCATCGCCAAACCCATCTACATGCTAAACACGACACTCACAAATCAAGCAACCTGCACAGCAGCCATAACACCCCCCACCCAAAGAACAACTACTATCAATACACCCTGCATTTGGCAAATTCAACGCGGTATCTTGCCTGTTATTGTGTGTGACATTAATTGGTATGTACAGGTTTTCTGACGATTGCTTCATGCTACATGTTAACATCCCGTCTTAACCTCCTTGCCTCTATGTCCATTCATGAGATATTGATTGACCAGTTTCTATAAAAAGTCCTTTATTGGTCCTTCTCCTTTATGTTTTAGAAACCTTATCCATCGCTCAAGTTAACGTTCGGAGGATTTCCTTCCATAATTGTTAAGAAATATAAATTAATTCAAAATACTTACAGGAAATTATAAGCTCAAATTTCTCATTTTTACCGTGTGGTTGTGCTCTAAATATTTCAACACCCTAATTAATTTTTTTTAATTTTTTTTTGTGACATAAAAAGTAATTAGACGTTTGAAACTATTTTTTTACAGATCGATAATGGATTAGATATCTTAACAAAAATATTTATTATCAATTATTTGCTTACATTAATTATTTTTGAGATCCTAGTTTCCAAATCTGGTATATCACTTTAGAAATTCAAGTGCGAGATTCAATAATACCAAAAATATGATATCCCAAAAACCGACTGAACTATTTGTAGTGAACTAGATAGAATATAGCGTCAATTAGAATTTTTTACATGGGAAAGATAAACATTAGCAGAAAACAATACCATTTTTAATAAGTTACCTAAAAATTTCTTTATAAACAAAAAAATGCTTTTCAAAATAAAGAAAATTAATAAATTTCATAATCCCCTCCTTTGAGTTCAGCATCTCCTCGATCCAGTGACAACTCATGAACTTCTTATCATCCCAATCATACACAATATAAACAAACCTGTAGGCAAAGCTGAGGATTCTTCGAACTTCTCCTTTTGCGTTAATGAAAAAATAAATACTTCATTATTCTAATGTTTTAGTTATTTATAATTAACAAAATAACATATGGCTTAACCTGAAATTTGCAATCTGAAAATTTCTTTACAATGACCAAATTTCGTTGACTGGTTAGTCACCACCCAAGTAGTTGTCATGATCTGCTATAAGTGTTCCTTCTACGTTTAACAATTTTTGTCTGTGTGTCTTATAGTAAGTCAGCCCTATAGTGAAACATAATATGGTTCTATAGTATCTGAAATGTATTATACAAATATATTATTCCTTATGTACGGTATCATTTGTGACATAGAGCTGTGCGTCAGCTATTTTTCGTAATACTTTCGCCTGGAAGAAATGAAATTGTTGGTAGTTGAAATTTTAACCAAAACCCAAAGTTCAAACCCGAAAGTCCATATTGTCCTTATTAAAACATTATAGAAGACCTATATTAAAACTAAAATAGTAAGTCCACATTGAAATAACACAGAAGATTATTTTTTTAATTAAAGCTGATTTCCAAATTTAGTCAAATAATCTGGAAAAACACGTATCGTATGTTTAATGGTATTCGTTTTTATCTAATGTAAAATTCTGCATGTCAGATTTAGGTTCAGATAACAACATAAGTATCTAATTTAGTGCATACAAATATATGTGTGTGTAATAAATAAAATGAAATTAATAAACATATATATTATACATTAATATAAAAAAGAATGTCCCACGAAATACAAATACAGAATTACTTTTTACTTTATTTTTTGTAGGATATTTTTATTTAATTGATCATCTTTATATTCATTACCATTCCGTTATGAATGAAATTAAAGATATGTCCATGTACATATGTATATTCTTGTTATATAACATAATTTTTGTTTCATTTCGAATTGCAAATGGGTACTTTCACTTTTATACATATATTTTAATTTATAAATATTAATTATATTAATATTAATAAGCATCATTGATGATTCGGAGAGATAATATAAACATACGGAATATGTATTTAAATATATTTTTTTCTGAATATTCCAGTATATAATTGGCATAAGATCAACTTTATAATTTTGAAATTGTTATTCAGAGTTTTTCCATATAGTTGCCATTTCAATAGTATCAGTATCAGTGTTCAATAAATATGACAGTAGAAATGGACTTTAACAACCTAAATATATATATATATATATATATATATATATATATATATATATATATTCTAATCATTATAATACTTTTCTGCGTTCAATCCGCTGTAATTTATCGTTGAAACTTGTGCTAACATTAGTTGCACGGTGGCTTATGCCGCTAAAATATTAACTACAAGTGAGTATCTTGTCTACGGTTATGATAGATAAATCAGTACTTATATTGATGGGGCATAGGTAACGAATGTAATCATTGTAAAATGTAGATAACAATTTTTTTTTTTTTTTTTGAAAATTAATACATTCTGCCGCAATGGAGGGCATTAACATTAGGGCAACATTAAACATTCACACAATATATACATACAAATGATAACTAAAATTTAAGAGTTTAACGTACAAGATAATAATATTATCGACATGAATTCTCTTCTTTCTAACTTCTCTCGAATGGTGAGAGAAGTTACACCATGTTAAATGTTTAATATTAATTTATTCTGTGAGGCAGAAAAACTCTCGCCTTATTCCATTTTTATTCAGGTTTTCATTCAGGTCAATCTATAAAATGATCATGATTGAATCATCAATGCTGTGTCAATCATCTTAGAATCACAAAACTGATTCGTTTTTCCCTTATGAAACTTTTTAGTATGTTGATAATGAAGTTATTTTCTTCGGGTTCACTAACCTATTTCGTTCCGGAAGCTGTCTAAAAAAATTCCACTCCATCTTGCCCCACCTTTCGAAGCCCTCAAAACCTCCATCTTTCCATAATCCCTTGTGTTTCTATAGGCTGACTCATAGTTTGAATTAAAAGTGAATTATTAAAAACAACTAAATAATCGTAGAAGCGCTAAAAAATTTAAGTTATTTTGTAAGGTTCAATAAACATGGTTAATTTATTTTAAATTTGTGTATCTTTTATTATCTGATTCCATTTTTGTTTCTGTTTAGGCGTGCTCTGTAGGTGGCTCAGTAGCTAACTTCTACCTGCAACCACAAAGTAGATTGCCCCTATTCTATTACCAACAACAAAGAGGGTAAGTTGTTTCTTAACACATTTTATTTATATAAATTAATTTACTTAAGATATGCACAGGACTGGCGAGACGGCCTAGCTTACCAGGTTTTATTTTTTAACTTATAAATTCACATTAAAATAAACTAAAGATAACATTACATACATTATGTGGTTATTATTAAATATAATTACATAATATTATGTTGTATAATTTATAAAACGCTTCGGTTGAGTTATAGTGGTAAATTTAATATTTAATGGGAGCCTTTACTTCTCTCCACGGCCCTCGCCATGGCCATATAGTGCCAATAAATAAAACACTCAAGTATTTTCCATTTGTTATTAGCATCTAATGATTGTATCATAATTTGATATCCTATGAAGCCCACGAATTAATGAGGTTTAGTTGAGTCATAGCAACGTAACATTAAAATAAATATAAAACACCAGTTTAACAATAAGATTAAGCTATTAAAAGGGGGCTTAGCTCAGAATCATGTGAAGAAATTTATCAAAGAATAAATATTCATCCAGAAATCATAAAACACAATTATGTTGTTACAACTTCATTTAAGTTAAGGAACTGCATAAGTTACATTATTACATTATTTTTTCAACACCCGCTTTGTACAAATAATTTGTTATACATTTTTTTCATTTGCTATTCTTCAACGTTCTACTAATCTAAATACTTTCAACTCAGTTTTCTTGAAGGTTAATACATTCCAAAAATTATAATTTAGAACGTTCTGATTCCTCTGATATGCAAGTTTGTAATTAAAATTTTTCCTGTCCACAGTTACTGGCCAGACACCGAGCGAACACAGGAATATGACAACAATCAAGGATTCCGTTTTCATCAATCCTACCAGAACAACTACCAGCAAAAGTTACAGTACAATTACCCCTTCGCGCAATACCAATTCGGTTTACCGCACCAACTACCACAGCAGGTGCAAGTGCCTCAACAGGAACCCCAAGTGCCTCAACAGGTACCCCAAGTGTCTCAACAGGGACCCCAAGTGCCTCAGCTGATACCACAAGTCCCCCATCAGGCGTCACAAGTCCCTCAGCAAGTGACACCTCAATTTCCTCAACAAGTGTCCCAACAAGTTCCTCAGGATTTGCCTCAGGAAGTACCCCAGGTTCCAGAGGATCTTCCAGAGTATCAACTCATCACGCTAGGACCGGAGGTTCCTGTATTGGTAAAGTTGCCCAACCAAAGGACCGCGATACTGCCAGCAAGGACTGTCTACAGCCTTCCCGGATTCTTAGAAGGCATAGTCCAAAACGTTCAGAACTACTACTCCGTCTTCAACCCTCTTGAAGTTCTCAAAGTGCAACGAAACAACTCCACCGTCTTGTTCCAGACAGTGAGTACAACTGAGCCCTCTACAGTCTCTTCGACTTCAGAATCTACTACTCCCGACTCTTCCAGTGCCAACTCAGATTCATCATCTTCTACTCCTGAAGCCTCTTCCTCTCCTTCTTCTTCACCTGAGTCTCCAACGGAAGCTGCTGACGAAACAACTGCAAACGCTACTGAAGAACCAGAATCAGAAGAGTCAACAACAATATCAAGCACGGAATCTACCAGCGAATAGGACTCTCAATGCGCCCAGAACATCACAAATCAACTTGGAGCACTAAGCTAGTCTGGAAAATGTTAATTTTCTACATCAGCTCTGTGCACTTGGTCTCTGGCAACACTAAAGGTCTACTCAGATTAATTCCTAAAAAGTATTTTCAGAATAAAACAATAATTAACTTATATTCGAAGTACTTAAATTGAAAACTAATTATACATTCTTTTGATAAATTAAAATTATGAAAAACAAAAGAGTAAAAAATACAGGCGAAATTGGTTATTATATCTATTGTAATCTATTTCTTTATTTGCATATCATGTACTTAATTTATTGTTCCTAAACAACATATGTACTTGTTTAATTATGTATTCAATATAAAAAAAAATCCTTGCATTCTGTAAATAACTCTTAATTTACTGCAAAAGAAAGTTATGTTTTTTAATTAAAAATAATTTGCAATAATTTTATCTACCATGCCTTTGATTTCAATATGACCTCTTCACTAGACATGTTTTGGTAATTAACATTTGTGCTTTAGCATATTTTTTAAATACTTTCCAATAAAGTATTTGAAATTTAAAATAAGATAGTTTTAAAATTATGTAAATAGCTTAAATTTATATGTTAAAATAATGAGTTTTTTAAGATAAAGAAGTATTTATTAGTAAAAACATCATATTTTTTTTATTTCTGCTTATAAAGTATCTACAAACTAAAGTATATCTGAAGCAACAACCTTTTTCATACAGTCTCATTCATTTCACCCTTCGTTCTCGGAGCTCTGCACCATATTCATCTAAAACTTTTTTTATAATAAATATATATATATATATATATATATATATATATATATATATATATAATATATATATATATATATATATATCCAAAATATATTAAAATTTCTAATGGTCATATTCTATTCTGCCTTGTTTCTACACGCTTTTTTTTTTTTAGCTAATTCCATCCTTTTTGGATTTCACTATTTAAATATATGTATGTATTAAATGAATGTAAAAAAAAATATTAATAATAAATTCATACTGCTAATTAATTGCAATAGAACAAACTATGACGAAACTTTTTCTATCACACAACTGTTTTATTCTTTGATGTTTTTAGCCACAGATAAAAAAAAAATATATTTTTTTTTACATACAAGAAGGGTTACAATCAGCAGAAGTGATTGAGAAAAAAAAATTATTTGAAGAACGAAATTTAAAAAAAAAATAGAATTAGCTTGGAAAAGGTGTGTAGAAACAAGGCTAAATCCTATGTAACAATTATAAATTGTTATGTTTTGGATTTATATACATACATACATATATATATATATATATATATATATATATATATATATATATATATATATATCCGAAATACCCAACAATCGAAAGCTCGGGAAACCAAAGTTGAAATAAATGAGACTGTATGAAAAGTGATCTTCCTCTTACTGCCACCTATAAATTACGTAGTCTACCTATTAAAATTTATTAAATTATATCTTATATTTAAAAAAGAACAATCATAAATCGGTTATATCCTGGTAAAGGATGTTAGTTAATTTACATGTTAATTTTAGATTATAATATTTTTAAATAAAGTCTTAAACTATTATGCAATTGTGTTCATGTTATTTGTATGTCCTCAATCATATCATATCCTTGTAAGACAGCAGGTAAGTCGGAATATGATCACTATGATGTTTTTTATAGAATTTTGAAAATTCGATTTATAGGAGATGTAGGTAAAAAGTAATTTTTACATTGTGTATTAAATTATTTTTACTAACATACAAATCAGAAGACGTTTATAAAAGACACTGAGTTATCAAACTAACTCAAAAAGTAAAATGGACTATCTATATCAAATCTAGAAGGTCATGAATCAGCAGACCATTAACGTCCTTATTAACGTCTTCTTGATGATTTAGTTTCAAAGCAAATTAAACAGAATATTGCTTCCTCCATGTCAGATTTCAGTCTAATCTGTCAGAATATTAATAAAATCGGAATAAGAAAATATAAATCAGGAATATAGCCGATGAATCACACTTCAATATTATTAGGTATTAATAAACAATACTAATTAGCTATTTTTTATATTTTTTTTAGTATATATTGTGCAAATGAACAACCATAATTGTTTGTCCTTTACTTTGGCAGATTGTATTAATAATATAATTCAGTAAAATTAGTCTATATTGTTAGATATTTTATACCAATTTCTGATTAAAAAAAAAATAGAAAAGAAAATCAAAATTGATTAATTCCCAATGATTAACTATTAAAATTGTGGGTTGATGGTTGACTGTAGTGAATAATAATGAAGAGAAGGATAGTTGGGATGATCAGTAAAAATAAAAATGGCAAAAATAAATAACAATATTTATTTTAACATTTGCCGACGTTTTGACCCGAAGTGAAGGCTTTCATCAGGGATGATCGAAGAGATTCTATAAATATTATTATTTATTTTTGCCATTTTTATTTTGACTGATCATCCCAACTATCCTTATCTTCATTAACTACTAAAGTGCGTTGATTTTTTTTTATTTTTAGTCTAAAAAAAATATGGTTGATAATTCAGTTATTCTTATCATACGTGATATATTATCCCGTCTATCTATAAAGTTAACCCATTATCTCACACCAGGTAGACATGGATACATCGCCGTGTGCTTCACAATGATTCAGGCTATTAAGGTCATCTTCAATCTTGCAAGAAACCATTACGGCCAGCTGTCCCTTTCATTATCGCTTTGTTCCAAGACTACTCCTTGGTTAATATTTAGCCACGATTTGGCCTATTACATCTTTGTACATTTATAGACAGCCAGTCTTCACTTCGGTAAGATCGAATAAAATACATTAATCTCGATTGCTTTCTTGCGTCCATCATCCTAACGCTTTTAGACAGCGACTTTCCTGACTTGACGTCTGGACAGACGCCTTAAACGACAGCGTGTCCATATCTATGAGATCTATAAACATATCCAGGGCAGGACGGGACCGGTCTAAGGGCGCACCGTTAGTTGGCGAGGCTCAGTCTTCGCGATGCTCCCTCGGCAGTTACAAGTGTGATGATAGCTTTGGTGAGTGTATTAAGTATTATCGTCGATAGAGCTCTTCGCTATATTCTGGGGGTTGTTTAAGTTGAAAGGTTGTCTAAAGTTGCTGAACATGGTATTGTTTAAACATAGACCGGATTCTTATACAATTGCTTTTTTATTTTATGTAAAATTTTAAATAATTTATTAAATCAGGCTTGGGAAAAATGTATTTTAAAATACCATGTATTTTTTGTTTTAATACATTAAAATGCAATGCATTTAAATTATTTTCAGAAATTGTATTTCAAATACAATTTTGAGTACCGTAAAATGAGGTAACTTTGGGACTTGGTGGTAACTTTGGGACAGCGGGCACTAGCGGATCCAGGATTTAATTTTTGGGGGGAGGGGAGGTAGCTTCAGCCCGAAAGATTTTTTCGAAAAAAAAGAAAGAAATTAACTACCTATATGAAATGGTGTTTAAGTGGTTCTTGAAGTCCTATTAAATATAATTAAATGAACAAGAATACTTTAAGAGGTAGTTTTTAATATTTTTTTCTGTAAAACATGATTATATTTTATCATTTTGGAGAGGTCTTCAGCCCGAAAGCCCCTCCCCCCACCGTAGATCCGCCTGTGGCAGCGGGTAAAGTTTAGTTTGTATAGATTCCGTGGTGGATACACTGTGTTGGTTCAGTCTGTAAAACGGGCTTTGTGTAGTCATATACTGCGCTAGAACCCTAGTTCACTAAACTCATTGTATAGATAGGTTTTATTTATTTCCATTGATTTTCCAAAATTCTTGTTTTCATGAAACTGCTTGTGCCGCAAGGTAGTACATGCGCTGTTCATACTGACTGAACCAACAGAAGCGAATCCACCACCGAATCACCACAAACTAAATTTCACCCACTGTCCCAAAGTTACCCCACCTTACGGTATTTCAAAATACTAGTTAGTATTTTGTATTTTAACTACAAACAATAAAATAAAAATAATTATTTATTTATTTATATGATATTTACAACTGTATACAAAAAATACATCTGGTAAATTCGCACATGGATATAATGACATGAAACACATGTTGAGAAACTACTCATTGGTAGCACTCTAATAATATGTCTATATAAGAAGATCACGTGGCCATCTTCTTTTCAGACCCCTCGGAGAATTATCAGGAATTGAATAGGAAGCAAGGTTAGAAACAAGAGGGTTGGGATGGTTATGATGGAAGGACAGATACAGATACAGATATTGGAAATAATCTGAATTGGGCGAAATCTGATACATAAGGAACATTAAGGTCATTATGGATATTTTTATTTGTAACAAAGTAAGGAGCCAAAATACAAATACAAAATACTTTCTGGTGGACGATCAGCATATACTCGTAATATAGGGGACCTATTACATTGGTAATTTATTTTGTGTATTTTAAATACAAAATAAAATAAATTTATTGTATTTCAGTATCTTGAAAATAAAACGCAAATAGGTTTTTTTTTTTAAATAGAATACAGTTACAATCAATTTATTACATATTTCACTTCTTAAAATACAAAATTAAGTAAATTTACAATAATATTTCTTTAATTGACATTCTTCCAACGTCTGGTTCATATATATTCTTCGTTCATTGTAATACATAATCTGTCTATATACAGACGACTTTTTTGGAGTTGGGAAGTTTTACAATCAGGGTGCAATTTTTACAAACAAACATATATCTTAAATTGGATGTACTTAAATAATAATAAAAACAGTTTTGAAAATGAGGAAAAAATTATTTAAAAGAAAATGCCTTGCGTGAAAACCAATGAAAGTCTTGTGAAGACAAGCAAACTTATGGAATAATATACAACATAAACGCTATTTCATTGCATTTAACCAAACGCTTCTGTAACGAACAAGTTGGCGATCTAGTTGTTTCAGCAGATGATTAAAATTAATTTTCAGCTTATTAAATTCTTTTAAAGGAACAAACGTTACCATTTTAAATATTGAAATTTGTTCCATTTCAATTAGGTGCCATTCGAATTCATAATTTGAAACTAACACCTTTTTTCTAAATTTATGTCTTAATGAAGGAGATCCTTTTTATAAAATTTGTTTAGTATCTAATTATTCACACTCCAAAAATGGTCACAGACAATGTTATAACCAGTTGATCGCTTAGCACTGTATTTTTTTTTTTATTGCGCTGCGTTCTATTCCGGTCTATTGTGTACGTCAACCATTGCATTCTCTACGTGTTGAAGACAGCAATCATGGAGATAGCACTGTTTAAGATATTTTAAAAATAGTTTTTTCATGTACATCTTATTCAATTTACATATGATTCAAATTTTTGTCATTTCTATTCTATCCACTCATCGCTCTATCCATGCATACCTGCTTAGGAGCAGACTTTCCATTCTGGTTGGGGGAGACGATGGACCGTCTGTCCAAAAATAGTCTCGGGAATTTATATTATTTACAGAAATTATGAGTGATAATTAACATAGTCAACATAATTATAAAAAGAGCAATATGATTGTAAAAATAAATGTATATATCTGTTAAATATTAGTTGTTTTTTTTCGTAAGGGTATATTTCAAAATACGTTAACAAAGCAATTAAATATAATACATATTTTTATTTTTATTTAATAGTCCGTGTTACAGAGTCCTTTTTATCGGATAGCTTCATCGCATCGTAACCTACAAATATTTTATTTACGAAAATTCTCGGAATTAGGGCGTATTTGATCTGGAG